AGAGTTAAATAAAAACAATAAGCAAAAAAACAACAACACACCTGTTTGTTTGGGTGGCGGCTGCCGGGATTAAGGTTAAGCTTGATAAGCTGCCCCACTACTCTCACTCAGCTGCTTTTATAACGGGCACTTTATTACTATTTTTATTAATATAAACGAAGGTAAAACACTACTGTTAACTCTATGGAATTTTCTGAATGCTATATTAAATAAATGTGGAGATTTTTTAACCGGAATGTCTATGGATAACTATTAGATGAATATATAGAGAGACAGAAACGCACGCTTGAGGTCTTGATTGAACGAGAGATTCTCTAAGACTGAGAATAAATACAAACCTTTGTAAAAAAAAAATTATACATATCTTATACATTTTTTTTGTTTCATTTATTTATTTAGAAATATAACAGTCTGTAATGTGGACAATAATTATAGTGATATATGATATAACACATTCATACCATATATACAGAGAATATAAAATTAACAAAAGTAAAATAATAATCAAAAACTATGTACAATAAAAAAATAAAACAACCTAAAGATAAATAAATTACAAACATAAAAACACAGTCATACCTATGTACAATATATACAATCAGGCAGGGAACCCCAATCCAGGCTTCTTTCTCCAACTATAGAAGGAAAAACGAGACTTCAAGAGATCCCTGAACTACTCTCTCTCCGCTAAAGCCAGTGGAGTTTGAGCGAGAGCGCTTTAGCCACATACACTCATGTCTGGAGTAGAGAATCTGGCCATTGCCAGAACTCCAACATATATACTACAATAGATCTCTGGGCCACTGCCGCTTCAACCTTCGAGGAGGATTATAGGGATGAGTGGGACTAGATAGGGATTGTGCTAGGGGATTCAGATGATTTATAAGGTTCTGATGGAATTTGGAAAAATTTTCATGGATAAGGTCGAGGACAAATGGGATATTAAGGTCATGGTGTAGGGTTTTGTTGGTTACATAGAACGGAGCATCGAATATTGTTCGGAGGATTTTGGACTGAAAGGATTGGATGCGTTTGATGTTAGAAAATTTAGCTGTCCCCCAAAATTCAAGTCCGTAGGTCCAAATAGGTTTCAAGGTTGTCTTGTATATCAGTAATTTGTTGTTAATTGAAAGTTGAGATTTTCTATTCAGTAGTCTGTATAATTGGCCGTATCGTCTGTTAAGTTCTTGTCTTTTAAGTCTAGTATGTGGGTGCCATGTTAGTCGCCGGTCTAAGAGGAAGCCAAGATACCGGGCTGTGTCTGAAAAAGGAAGCTGGATGGACAGCTTAAAGTGGACTGATGGACAGGATCTGCGCCAGAGGGTGAAGGTAATGTATTTGCATTTGGATTTGTTTACTTTGATGCGCCATTTGTTGCACCAGTGCTCAATCAGAGAGAGGTGTCTTTGTAGATTTAAAGATGCTATTTCGGGATCTGAGTTGGATGATAGGATGGCGGTATCATCAGCAAATGTTGCCAGGAAGATATCGGGATAGACAGGGATATCGGCTGTCAAAAGGATATAAAGGACGGGGCCCAAGACGCTACCTTGAGGAATTACAGCGACATTTGAGAAGAAATATTCGTTGTCTGGTACTATTTGCGAGGCGTTTATATATATATATATATATAAATTTGGTACTTTTTGTCTAAGCGGCCGCTACTGACTGCTATCTGCCAATGTTTATAACCTGGACACTGATAACTCCCACATCTTCGTATTATTGTATTAAATTAATTCGTATTATTGAAAGTGTAAACAGATACAAAAACAAATGTAATAACAACAAAAATACTTTTATTTGACGACAAATATATTAATGAAATAATAAAAAAACACTTTAAGAAGATATGTACATATAAAACATCAAAATGAAATTAAAAAAAAAACAAATTTAAAAGAACATATTTACATAGAAAAGAAAAAATATCAACACTATAAACAACGTATATACAAATTATTTTAAGTTAATTATTCACTTCCTTTTGTCTTCTTTATTTTGAAAGGCAAAATTGTTTATGCTACTTAAAATAGCGAGGAACGGGTCCTCTTCTCTGTGAACCCGCCGCCACAAAAATTCCCACAAATATGAATCGAGGTATTGTCTGGCAGTTCCTTTATGTACTTTATTTCTCCACTTAGCTGAGCCCCACAATCGTTCTATGTGTTGAGTATGAACCCCAGTTGATGGATCGACAAAATTATACCGGTGATTCACTTGGAAATGGTCATAGTTCACACAATTTCAGTCGGCAAGTACCCTAACATTTTGAAAATACTGAATTGCCTGTTCTTCTGATGACGGCAAATCCCATATTCTAAGAAGATACATAATATGACGAAAATAAACGAAAAAAAAAATGAAAAATAAACACCAAGGGGTCACAAACTAAAAAAAAAATGTAAAATAAACACAAACGGGCCAAAAACTAAAAATAAACACAAACGGGCCAAAAGTAAACAATTTAATAAGTGAACGTAATAAGGGAATAACTGAAAACTAAACAATGCAATAACTCAAAAGTTTGGCGGGATAAGAAGAGAGAGGTTATGTGACATGATGACATGACGTTAGATAAGATATATAAGAAGTGAGGTTTCAAAACGGCCGCTTAGACAAAAAGTACCATAAATTTATTTATTGAGCAATTTTACAAATGCCTTTTGGCATATTTTGTAAATGTGATGTTCGTTAGCGAACCTCCTCTCCGGGATTAGCGTGAATACGTGATTGGAGAAGCCTCCCAGACGCAGCAGATCTCTGCTCCAGAGGTGCTTGAGTCTCCTTGGTGGATTCTGTGGTAGTGTGTCTGTTAGTAATGTTTGTACAAGTGGATTAGGATGTCCACCTAAGGAGTCATGGAAACTTTTATAATATTTTTTAATTACATCAGTCACTTATGATATTTGTAGGTCTTTATGAAGTGATTTATTGGTTATGTAGAAGGGACAAATGAGTGATATACCGGAGAAATTTAGATTGGAAAATTTGAATAGTCTGTAAGTGTGTTTTTTTGCATGAACCCCACACCTGAGAGGCGTTTATAGAGATGACACTGATTGTTGATGCGTGATTTAAGGTGAGGATAGGAAGACTTCAAGGAGGAGAAGGATATATAAGGTTGTACATTAAGTGCTTGAAGAGCTGTAGACGAAGAAAAAGAAGTGGCGCGAGAGATGGTGATGGCCGGGGATGAAGAAGCCAGAGAGAGGCCAAGAGAGCGTGGCAAAGAAGTTGCTGCTGGAAACTGATGAGGTCTAGAGCGATTTTGAGATCTGGTTCGGTGGTGAGCAGTAAGGAGGTTGTTATCTGTTTGTTGGCCCCGTGTATGTAGATTCATAATTGTGGGTTGATGGTTCACTGTAGTGAATAATTGAACAGGTTGGGGTGATCAGTCAAAATAAAAAATTGTATTTATTTTTGCATTCGCCGAAGTTTCGGCCTTCATCAGGGCTGAGAAAAGTTTTTCTACCTAAATTTTTAGTCTATACCTTTCACATTTTATAATTTTAATTCTTTATTATTCAATGTTTATAGTTTCTTATACTTATTGTAATCTGGTTCTTTTTGAAGGCCTGAATTTCGGGCTGAAACCTCGGCGAATGTAAAAATAAATACAATTATTTATTTTTACCTTTTTATTTTGACTGATCACCCCAACCATCCTTCTCTTCAATTATTCACTACAGTCAACCATCAACCCACAACTTTAATTAAAAGTTTCGCATAGAAAGCAATGGCTTTCAACTGACTGACCGAAGTTGTGTGTTCAGATGAGGTTAATCCAGAATTTAAAATGGTTACTAGCTTTAAGTCCTTCCGTTAAATGAAATGGTTGGTAGCTCCTAGTCTATTTGTATGTTGCAAGATAAGTCTGCTCGATAGGTGGGAGGGGAATCCATAATAAAAGTGATTCACTGAGATCATTCTTCTCTGGGTCTCAGCTGATATTCTATTGCATATTGCACGTCACTTGTGCTGCAAGATATGTAAATTCCGACACAATTCAACATGCAATTCAAATGCAACTTTGATACCGGGATGTACCTAGTTCTGCCATAAATACTGTTACAAAAGTTAAACTTTGTTTACATCCTTGGCTATTATTTAGATTATCCTTACCTCTATCAGGTTATTTTCTTTACATGTCAGGATAACAATCCCAATTAGTTTGTATTTTTCTTTCGCTCAGTTAACATGGAATGGGGTGATTAAGGAAACTGAATAGCTGTGATCGCCTTACACAAAGTTGGAAAATGTAGTTCAGAGATTTCCAACACTTTGAAACCTCTGGGTATCAGCTGTATGTTCGTGTACCCCACTATAAATAGATATAATGAGACCCTATTTGTATGTAACAGACCTCGACCTTGTATGGGGCCGTCCCCGCACTGTGAGAATGGCAAATGTAGTGAGAGCAGTGGCTGCTCGAATCACAAGAAATCCCATTCGAAAACAACAAATCATGTCTTGGGAAATGGGAATCTCTGTCAGATCAATATCTCTCATAATAAAAAGTGACCTTAGGATGGGCGCATTTCGACGAATGACAGAACAAAGGCTAATTAACCACTTCCCTAAAAAAAATAGAGTGGATAGATGCAAAGTACACCAATGGTCTTCATCGAAAGATTTCGTTTAGCGATAAAAAACTTTTATAATTGAAGACAAATTTAATCGCCAAATTGATTGTGTATATGCACACAGCTCTAAATAAGCCCAGGAATAACACATTAGAAGAGTGAAGAGAGGTCATCACCCTTCCTCAGTGATGATTTTGTGAAGAGTGTGCTTTGCACCACAAAGCTCCATTTTTGTGAAAAAGGTGTTAAAGCAGCCACTAAAAACTATCAGGACAATATTTTGGAACCTGTTGTCAAGCCTCTAAATGATACTCTGTTTGCTGGAAGTCATTGGGTTTTCTATCAGGATTCCGCTCCAGCTCACAAAGCCAGGTCAACTCAGCAGTAGCTGCAAAACAACATTCCAGAGTTCATCTATGCCTCGGATTGGTCCTCACGAATCCCTGATCTCAACCCACTAGAGTATTGGCTTTGGTCCGAACTGGAGAGGATGGCATGACACAGAGCACACCCTAACTCGGAAAGCCTCAATCTCTGGTCCGAGCAGTTGAGCGCTTTCCTCAAGAAGTGCTGCGTGCTGCTATTGATGACTGTCCATGGAGATTGAATGCCTGAGTCAAGGTAAAAGGGGGACATTTTGAGTAATTTCTTTTTTGTTTAACTTTCTATAGATATACATTTTATTTTCTAATAGTTTTTGAAAAAAATTAATTTTTCTGTTGAAATCTGTATATGTTTCCTTGTAACAATGTTTATGACAAGGCTAGGTACCACAATAAACATAATTTCTAAATATACTTTTTATTTATAAAAAATAAAAATATTAAAAAAAGTAATTTTTCAATTATTCATCATCTTAAGTGGTATTAAAACTGTATTTTTTACTAAAATCTCTATTATAGAAATCGATTCCCATTTATATGTGACAAAATAAATGTTTCTAGTTATAATATTTATGTTTAAAATAACAAAACCTCCAGATTGCTTCAATAATTTTTATGAAAACAAATATTCGGATAAGGAACATTTAGTTTGTCACATATAAACACAGATCAATTCCTCTAATAGAGATCTGGGTGGAAAACACAGTTCCATAATCACTTCAAATGAAAAATCATTATTTTTACCATTTTTGGATTTTATATATAAACGGTTTATTAAGGCAATATTTTTATTATAATATATCCCAGGTGATGGAAAAACAAGAAATAAAACCTTTGCAATAATCTATTGTAGTCAGTTTTGCTGAAAACAAACGTATTATTATGTGACAGGATATAAAATCACATAATTTATTTATGCAACTTAAGATGAATCTCAGCTTTTTCCAAATAAACCTCGACTAAATTAATATGAACTTCAAGGTTATTAAACAAGGTTTTTCTAAAAGTGGGGTATTGGTAGTTGTTGGATTTACATCCAAAATTTTATTGTACAGTATTTTAAATTATCATTGTATAAACAACACGGGGGGACCCCCGGTCTCAACTTGCACTACCCCCTCTCTAAGACGGCCTTATCTGCGGCCAAAGGAGAGATGCTAGAGAGCGAAGCAGGCAAAAGGCCTGTTGACGGCCTATCTTCTGACCAGACCTCCAGAACCACAGCCCTTCGGCTATTTTCTGGACCCAGAACGGCGGAGAGAGAGAGAGAGAGTGAAGGCGCGAGACCGGCCCCCTCATCAAACTGTACGTAAACTTTTACACATATATTCACAAGTATTCCTCTCTAAAACATTTCTTTATTTTGTATCTCTCAAGAAAAGGGCTCCCGGTCATACGGCATGTACCGGGCACCCCAATATTGAACATATGGTGCCCCGGGTGAGGAAGGAATACTTGTGAATGAAAGTATTGTAAACATCCGCCCATCATCTAAATATCTTAATTGCTTAATGGTTCGGTTTAACTCTAAGTTCGTCTTGGTCATTTATTTTTTTATTTGAGTTAAATTAATTAAGTTTTTTTCTTCTCAATATTAGCAGCATTTACTAATGAAAATGTTTTATATGATTAACGTAATATTAAACGGCTTAGACAGCCAGTAGGTGACTCTTAATACCATTTCAAGTAACAGTCACTGCCGCCTAATTCCATTGAGAACAATATTTATGCTTACTTCCGCCGCTACTTCTAATTTTTCCTGTCGTACGTGTTTCAATTCTCCAGCATCCGAATAATTCATATCTCGCCACATAATTTGTGAATAGGTTATATTATCACATTGTTTCGGCTATCAGCTCGGATTTATTTAGCGATCTAGATTAAAAAATAAATAACTATAAAAAATTGTTTGTTTCACGTACGTATAAACAATTACATTGTAACTTTGTTTGTGTATATTTTGATTATATTTCATATTTATTGATTGTTAAGTGTACGCACGTTTTCATATTTTATTTCATATTGTTGATTTTATATATAGATTTATTACCTCATTTTTCATGCATGTTTTTATATTTATTAAATATTGTTGAATTTTTTATATATTTATTAGTTTTTCGCGCATGTTTAATTTCTTATTATTAAGGTATTTATATTTCATTAGTGTATACGCATAGTTGTTCTTTTTGTGATTGTTTTCATTTCATTGATTTTTATTTTATGCATAGCTATTCATATAATTATTTACGTTTCATCCTTCACATGTATATATATATATATATATATATATATATATATATATATATATATATATATATATATATACACAAATATTTATTTAATTATTGATCTTATTAGTTATATGCATAGATATTTATTTGTATCTCATTGGTTTATATGCATAAACATTTATTAAATTATTTATCTAGCATCAATTTAAATGCATGAGTATTTACTTGATTATTTGAATTTCATTATTTTATGTGCATGGATATTTATTTTAACGGATTATATTTAATTATCCGATGATTTATTGTATCTTGAATTTTCATCTAAATCTTGAGTTTTTTTTTGTTCTGAAATCTTTTTTGTAGAAATTTGAATCAGGCAAGTTTCGAAGTTTTAGTTTTGGATCTCTCACAATTTTACGACTTCGCTAGATAAACTTCGTGATTGTCTCCTCAAATTATAAATTCATTCGGAACCATGGGTGGCGGTAACGAACAGTTGAACGACTTATCTGGCCACGGTGACGCACTCGAGCGTAAGCTTCGCCATCTCAGGCGCGGTCTCAACAAATTATTTGTCCAGGCCGCGGATTTGAGCAGTGGGGACTTCTTCGAGTACGAAGTCATTTACGAGGAATCAAGGTTAATGTGGGAGAAATTTGAGAATATATGGGAGGATTTAGATGCGGTCTACGCGTCCCAGGGTGCTTCGGCCTATCCGCCCGACTGGGAAACAGGCTACGACGCCATTCAGGGAGAAGTACGGAAAATAGAGGCGGGATATCGGAGGTTAAGCTCGCATCGCGCCGCGGTTGATAACGCCAAGTCTGGCTCAACCCCTTCGCTTTATCCGCCTCAACTTCCGGTCATAGACGTGCCCGTTTTCAACGGTGATTTGTCGAATTGGACGCGCTTTCGCGACACCTACGTGTCCCTGATCCACGACAACACCCACTTAACGCCGATAAGTAAAATGCATTACTTGAAAAATGCGCTTATCGGCGAACCGGCGTCGCTTCTCTCGGCGTTTTCATTCGATTCCGGCTCATACCAGCTGGCCTGGGACGCTCTCATGCGAAAGTATGATAACCCACGAGTTCTCGCGTCACGTTGCCTCCAGAGGGTTTTAAATCATAGGGCCCCTACTTCTGGCAGCGAGTATTCCAAGCATGCCGCTTACCTCGCGACTGTGGGCGAAAGTATAGCGAGCTTCCGCGCGTTGGCTCTGGAAAACGAAGGAGAAGTCATTATGTCCACCTTAGCTCTCCGCGCGTTGGACCCAACCACCAGACGTCAATTTGAGCTCTCTCACGCGAACGGCGAGTTCCCTACCGCGGACGAAGTCATCGCTTTTGTGAGGCATCGCATGATGTCCTCAAAGATGGCCCGCGAAATTGAAGCGGTACCTTCCGACGCACCGCGCGTCTAGGAAGCGAACAGGAGTAACTTTGCTTACCGGCAAGGCGGATGTTCGTCCCACCACGTTTAAATACGCGACCTCGCCTAAACAGACTTCTTTGGACAGGAGTCTGAAGAGTGGATCCCGACGCCGACGATCACTGGAGGAGATTCCGCGGAGTAAATCCATCTCGCCCAATAGGGATCCGTGTCCTCACTGCAGAGGGAAGCATCATCTGGCGCGGTGTTTCAGATTTCTTGCGCTGTCAATCGAGGAACACTACAAATTCGTACAATCGTATAGTCTCTGTTATAACTGTCTCAGATCCGGCCATCGAGGTTCGGAATGCTTTTCCGCATTTACGTGCACTTTTTGTCACGAAAAGCACCATAGCTTGCTGCATGAAAAAAATCGTTCCGACCTGAACACTAAGGAAACTTCCGTGGGGGAGGGCGATTTCGTCGGTCACGCTCGAGGCGCCTCTGTTTCGTCTGACTCCTCTTCTGAGGCACTAATAGGCACGGCACAAGCGGTGCTGTCCGGGTCGAAGCGTGATGCCTCGGCGCGTCTTTTGCTGGACTCCGGAAGCCAGTATACGTTCATCACCGCTCAGCTCGCGGCTCGCATTGGCAGCCCGATGCATCCTTTCGACGGCAAGATTTTGGGTTTGGGTGACAGTCCTGTCGGGAAAATTATAGGTTATATTACGTGCAGGCTCGGCGCGATCTTCGATGACCGTACGAATTTCAAGGTGCGCGCTTTGGTGGTGGACCGGATTACTTCCGATATGCCAAAGCGCCCCTTACCCGCTGGGTTGGTTCGTGAACTGTCAACCCATGTTTTGGCAGACCCGTCCTTCGGAGTCCCGGGTCCTATCGACATGTTGGTAGGTGCCGATCTATATCCTCGACTTCTCACTGGTGCTCCCACCAAGGCCTCAGTGGATAATGATTTCTATCTGCTACCAACTCTCCTCGGAAACGTCGTCATGGGGAATATCTCGACTAAAGCTTCATCACGGGTCGTATCCCTGTTAACCTACTCTGAATCGCCAGTATCGGTACGGGTTGGAACATTTCGGAAGCCGGAGAAAATTGGTCCTGCGAGCCGTAGCTTCGTCGCGAGCTCCCATACGGATCACGTATATCGCCCTCGTACACGGCGTTTCAACCATAACAGGGGAAGGATGCGCGTGTCCGTTAGAGATAACGACGTTTCTGTATCTTGCCGCTAATTTCGATCCGTGAGGATTATCCACGCGAACCGCCGTAAAGTTTCTCGCTCACGCGATGGCGGACGGGTCTGGATATCAACCCGTAGTAGGCCCGCCGTAAAGTTTCTCGCTCACGCGATGGCGGACGGGTGTGGATATCAACCCGTAGTAGGCCGGCCGTAAAGTTTCTCGCTCACGCGATGGCGGACGGGCCAGGACATAGTTCCGTAGTAAGGTCTTGTTTCGTCCTTTCTATAATCGCTCCTGGTTTTTTTGGTCACTCAAAATCCGTTTTTAGCCGGAACCCGCGACTTGAACTCAAGCGTGACGCTTTTACGCCGGAGCGTCAACGGCCGACTCACAACATCCTCCGCGAACTCTCTTCCGATTGCACACATCGCCCTGGCGCAGGG